TCTGAGGGTATCCACTCCCACCCCAGCAGTGCAATCAGAATCCTTTTTCCCATGGGAATTAAGAAAATGGAATTGCAGATAGACCAAAACTTTTCAGCACAGTAATGTCCTTTCCTTTGTCTGCCTGAATATTCTCTTTTAGAGAGCTCTGTCATTTATTGAGTGGGACAGATTTTAAATATCAAAGTGAGGCAGGTTGTGTTGAGGAGGAGATAAAGTGCATTTCTATTTCCCTTGCCCTTCTACAAAGGAAGTTATCTTTTTAGCCAATATTCATATTCTAGTTACAGGATATTTTTAATGTTCCTACTAAGTAGCCTCTGTCCTGTGAATTGAGGCTGCAGATGTTTTCTGTTATCTTAGAGCTGTGTCTGTGGTGAGGCATTTTATAAATCAGCACTTGATACCTTTAAAATGTATTAAATCACATTTACCCTTTATTAAAGGCCTGAGTTAATTAAAGTTCTTATTTGTGTGTTTACAGGAGAGAAACTCAATTCCTCAGCTCTCCTATTTCCTTGTGGAGCCCTGAAAAGAGAAGTACTTCCCACAGTGCTGAGAGAAAAAGGTTGAACTTCCCCTGGAGACCCATTTTAATTAGTCAGTGATGAGAAAAGTTGTATCTAAAGCTTGTGAACCAAATTGGAAGAAGTAAAAGTGGAACTTCTGAGGAGAGGATGGGAGTAAGCCCTGGGAGGTTGGATGGCTGCCCACAGCCCTGGGATGTGCAAATCCTTCACAGAACGTTTATGTGTCTTTTTAGCCTAAAATAGTTACACTTAAGTGCAGTTAGGATGTTGTGAGTGCTGAATTGAAATGATAGAAATGGATGAATAAATGAATGAATGATGACTGCATGTCCACATTACAGGCATACCCCTGGAAAGCCTCACTGTTTATCAAACAACCCAGCACCCTGATCTGCAGGAATCTTTGAGCAGTTACTTCTCCCAGCAGGTACTGGGCACTGATGTAGTTTGGGATTTTCTGAGGCAGGTGACAATACATTCTGGAATATTTCTTTCTTTAAAGTAGTGGAACTGAAATATCACTGGGTATCTTTGCTGTGTATCACAGATCAGAATCCAGGAGTAATCTGCCCTATGTCGTTTGTGTAAAAATAATCATTGCTTTTAATTTTCAAGATTGGCTTTCTGATTTTTCCATTTTAGGAGCCTCCATCATAGAATTACAGACTCATGGAATGGTTTGGGTGGGAAGTTAAAGCTCTTCCTGTCCTGCCCCTGCCATGGGTGGGGACACCTTCCCCTGTCCCAGCTGCTCCAGCCCCAGTGTCCAGCCTGGCCTTGGGCACTGCCAGGGATCCAGGGGCAGCCCCAGCTGCTCTGGCAATTCCATCCCAGCCCCTGCCCACCCTGCCAGGGAACAATTCCTGCCCAAGGTCCCATCCAGCCCTGCCCTCTGGCACTGGGAGCCATTCCCTGTGTCCTGGCACCATGTCCAAGGCACTGGCACACTGCTGGAGCAGGGAGTGAGCTGTGCCAACCTCTGCTTGCTTTCACCCAGGGGATCCCTGCGAGCGTCGTGTTCTTCAGCCCATCCGGTGTCAAATTCTGCCTCCAGCACATCCAAAAGCTTTCGGGGGATGTGATCAACCAAGTCAAGGTATCTTCTCTTAAAAATGGTGGAATACAAGAGGCAGTAAATTTGGGGTGGGCAAATGAGTTAGAAAGGCTGTCACAACCACTGCAAACCTTGATTTTATCTGTGGGGGTTTTTTTTCCTTAAAAAAAAAAAAAAAAATAGTTTATAGCAAATACAAATGTTATTATATAGAATTCTAGAATCTCAGAA